GGAATGGAAGTAGCTCGATCAAGGAATGGAATCTCGGTGTCATAGCGGAAATATGTGTTGGATCTTCTTAGGGAGACAGGCATGCTTGGGTGTAAGCCAGCCGAGACCCCTCTTGACTCAGGTACCAAACTTGGAGCAAAAGAGGGGAGTACTCCAGTGGAAAAAGGGCGATACCAGAGACTTGTGGGGAAGCTGATTTATCTTTCCCACACTAGACCAGACATTGGGTTCGCAGTTAGTGTGGTAAGCCAATTCATGAATGAACCTACTGAGGAACACATGGAGGCTATCAACCGAATATTGAGATATCTAAAAATGGCACCAGGCAAGGGATTATACTTCGGAAAAACAACAAGAAGAGACATTGAAGTGTTTGCAGATGCTGATTGTCGGAGGTCCACCTCTGGTTATTGCACGTATGTATGGGGAAACCTAGTTACTTGGCGAAGTAAGAAACAACCAGTAGTATCACGGAGTAGTGCAAAAGCAGAATTCAGAGCACTGGCACTTGGCATTTGTGAAGGTCTATGGCTAGACAAATTACTCAGTGAATTAAGGATTGGTATCCCATCTCCTATGAAAGTATTCTGTGACAATCAATCAGCTATCAATATAGCTAAAAATCCTGTTCATCATGATCGAACAAAACACGTGGAGATAGATCGTCACTTCATCAAAGAAAAGATAGACAACGGGATCATGAGTTTACTGCACATCTCTACAAGTCAGCAAATAGCAGATATTCTCACTAAAGCTCTGCCAAGGAAGAATTTTGAAGAATTGAGTTCCAAGCTAGGCTTGATCAACATTTACGCCTAGCTTGAGGGGGAGTGTAGAAATACTCGGTTAAGGAAATTCTAGAATAGTTGACAATAGTAAATTAGGAATATAGAGATTTAGGATTATTCCCAATATCTCTATTTATGGTAGTTTCTTAATTTCTGGTTTGTTTCCTGTTTTATTCTTTATTTCCAGATTCTATATGGAATCAGTAATTATGTAATTAGTGCTAGGGTGAACAGAGACCTAATGTATAAGTAGGGCTGTACATACATGTTTTTATCAATGAGAGAATAATCATTCCCTAAAAACTTCACTCATCAATCACTTAAGGAGCTTTTCTTATTTATTAATTTATTTTTCACAAAAAAATATAAGCTAAAATGTAGAGATTAGATCAGATGGACACCACAATAATTGTCTTCTTCTTTCTATTTGACATTCAACCGGCATATATATTATCTAGCTAACCATCATCTCCTTCGAGATTAGAAATTACATACAGATTCTTTGTTAAGCTTTTGTTAGAGGGTAGCAATGCTTTCACTACTTCTTTCAAGACCAAGAATAAGATAGTGCTGCTAATGAAAAGAAAATGATAATAAAAAAATGCTATTATCGCAACAATCCCTCATATATCATCCCATTGTTCAATTAACTTTATGTAATAGACAAATTAGACATCAGTCATGAAAATTGATGCCAACCTGGAGGAGGAAAGAATTCCAATAAGTCTCAAAAGCTTGCTTGAGAAAAATGGCTCTTTCAATACATCAATGCGAGATAGATCAGATCCAACAACATCTAGAATAGTTACAAAATATGAAATCCAAATCAGCAATAGTACCAGAAATGATACATGTGTTTTTCATATCAAATTCCTTATTCCGCCCATAAAGCATTTAAACCTTATAGGTCAAAATACCAAATATCATACACTGAAACAACAGAATATTCCATAAAAAAAAAAAACAACAGAAAATCCTTATAGGTCAAAATACCAAATATCATATACTGAAACAACATAAATAATATCACAAGTTTTTTTTTTTTTAATATAAGGATAAACTTAGTTCACCAGTTACATTTGAATCAAGAAATGCTTAGAAGAGAATAGCAACAAACAGATTATAGTACCTTTTGTACAGTCAGAAGCAAGGACATCAGCAGCCTGAGCAAGATATCTTTCACATAAAGAATCATTACTGCAATCTCCCTCTGCCTCTATTAGTTCATTACGCTCAGAGTGGTTCAAAAGAATGCGAATAGCCTTGGGGGAAGGGGAAAACAGAAAAGGCAAAATTAAGCATGCCAGCTACCAATCAAAGTATACACAAGTAAAGAAAGAGGAAGAAAGCATTAGTAACTTTCTCCTGCAAAATAATCTGTATGTAGTTGAATCATCCCAGATTTGCTATTGGTTAATTTTCATAGGAAATATCAATACCCTTAAAAGCATACTAACAAATTCTTTAATAAGTAACACACTGAAGCACTCAGAGAAATCCAGAACATGTTATTTTTCTGATAAGTTGCCCAAACATAATAACAATTTTTTTATAAGGAAAACACCTTTCATTGGTGAAATAATCAATTACAAGGAGAAAGAGGATGAGGTATCCTCAGGAAAGACACAAAAGGAATTACTAGGAGAACAATCAACAAACAAATATTAGTGGAAGTTAGAAAGTGCTAACTTGTAATGCTCCCCAAAGGCCAAGATTTTCCAAGCAGAATATAATATTATCATGTAGTTTGTTTAGCAGTTTCTTTGAGTTCCTTAGACTTTGCAAGTCATCTTTCTTCGAACTAAGTTCAGACACGCACTGCGCTTTACCACAAAGAAATCACAAAGTTACAACCAATAATAAAATCTTCTTTGTAAACACACGAGTAAACATTACTGTTTGGAACCAAGAAGAAATGTAATAACAAACCTCACGTTTCAGGTCTCCAAGTTTATTGTAGTAAGCTATGTAAGGATTGGATGAGCCATTTACCACAGGATCATAATAATATACCCTAACTGTCGCAGTTGCCACAAAACTGTCCAAGTCATTTTTGTCTTCAACTGAATAAACCTATTAAGGGTGAAAAGACGGGGTGGAGGTTAGGTAAAGAGACTGGGCTACTGCTTAGAAACTGTTGGCTAATGTTCAAAGAACACAAACTGATGTAAAATATCAGGCACAGATTACTTAGGCTTTTTTTTTTATTTTTTTATAAGAAAACACCTTTATTGATAATTATCAATTGCACGTACAAAGAGGATAAGGTATCCTCAAAACATAAAGAAAACAAAACAGAAGCAAAAAGGAAATCTGATAAAAAAACTAAGAATTCATCTTCCTATGATATCTTTCCGATTCAAAACAATCAAAGAAAACAGAAAACCCTTAAAAGCTTTGTCTGACAAAAACAAGGTTACTTAAATCCACTTTGATACTTTCTTAGCTATTGCTTCGTAGTTTGAAAAGGCTAGACCAATTGAAACATTGCTTGATGCATCGACTGAATCAATTGACTGTTGCCAAACTAAAGTCTGAAATCTGGCAACACAAAGCTAAAAGCAAGTATATAGGGAATCAACGGAAGTTGTGGTTAGCGCTAGCTCATCCCAGCATGTAAAGGATAATAGAGAGACCTTGTAAATACAAAGAGATGAAAATGCTGGAACGGTCCAAAAAAATAAAATTTTGAAGGTCCGCTGCCTATGTCGAATTCCAACTGGAGTAGTGCGACTTGAGATTATTCGCAGACTAGATAGTTCAAAGAAAAAGGAACATAGGATTACGTGAATCCAAATTTAATCTCAAACGAACAACGTCAAAAACGCACCTTAGCATCAAGTAAACTTTCAAGACTATTGATGCTTTTTGCTAAACTCCCTTCACTAGAAGCATCTGAAATAACAACACGTGCGCAGAAGGATCAATGGCATGAAAAGGGAATAGGTTACACGTTAGCATGAGGGAATACACTCAGAACAATAATAATAACACAGAATTTGATGGATTCATTTAACAGCAATGGTCTAGATACGTACTAAACAAACGACGGTATGATTTTATTTTCATTTTTTTGACAATATGAAAGTTAACCAATGCCTTGTTTAGTGTCGAAGCCAGGAAGACTCAAATGAGATCTCCCCAACAAAATAAATACTATTGAACAGGATACAATTTGTGATAAAACCTATATTCACATGCGTACAAATGAATATATACATGTGTCGCCTGACAGCCTTTACCATTTCTTTTTGTTTTAAATTCCCACACCAAACATAGCAACTAGACCTGCTTGCAACAAATAGATGAGTAGTTCCAAACAATATGATGACTGAAGTAACAAAAGTGTTAATGGTTCATATTTCAACAATCATTACCTTTCCCAATAACCGGAGATGCCGTCATGCCAAATATGCGAGGACGTTTTATTGCATCCGTTTTGTAGAAGACCTATAATGTTTCATATTATCTAACATCAACAAATCAAAACAAACCGAATGAGGCAAATAAGCATGAGAAAGAGCAAATTACTCGCATGATTTCAGCATAAGGATGGTTGCTTTGGACTTGAGCGTGGTGACACTCATCAAATATTAGTAGTGCAATGGAATCCATCTTCATGAGACAGTGACTTAAGCAGTGCACTAGAATTTGAGGAATCATAACAAGAACCTGTAGTGCAAAAAAAATCAGCAAAAAGGATTCAAGGAGGATTTGGCACTTTGAGAGTGAACCTTGATAGCAAAAGATCTATATCGTTTCTATGGAGCTAAAGATATTGGACAGAAGTAAACAATAGAAAAATGCAGAATTTTGAGAAAAAATGCAAGTACTAACTACGTGAACTTAAGAGGAACTGCGGTACTATCTCCTTCAAATCAGCATTTTTTATGTTGATAGATAGATAACACGTATTAGTGTTGTAAAGATGTTATGAATGCGACACGTACAGATGTTATGAATGCGACACAGGTTCCCAACATTTAAAAGAAAGAAGACTAAAGATCAGAAATTTGAATCAATGTAAGCTCTATATTAAATAACATTGATATAGTATTACCTCATATTGTTTCATGTCTTTTTCCCAATACTCATGGCTCTTCAGGCGCTTAGAGTTGCCACTGCAGATCTTAACCTTGAAATCAGTAGAGTCTTCTATGACCTTTGCTTGCTACAACAAAGGATAACAGATTTGACTTAAAACCATGCAATGCTAAAAAAAAAAAAGAGTATATTTCCCATTGTAAGGCTCCATCAGATGACAAAAGAGAGCGAAACAATAAGAGACTGGAATTAGAAGAATAATACTACGAGTGCCAACTGGTAACCGCCAACTATCAGCTTGTACTAAATCTCAGATAACTGGAGACATAGCAACGGATTTGTTAGAAGATAAATGCTACATGACATTATATGCATCGTGCCCAATTAGCAATAATAAGTCAGTCAACGCCCGGCACAACAAAGAAAAGAGGAAAAAAAAAACAACAACAACAACAACTAAAAATACAAAAAGTCCGTGTTTTATTGCTAACTAGGATTGTGAGAATTAGCAATGAACCCAATAGACCCACATATCTCAAGTCCTCTTCGATGTGAGCCTTGAGAACACAAATACAATTTATCTCATCTCCAATACAGAAAGTCATCCAACTTTGCATAGAATCATAAATATCACATCTTTAGGGGGAAAACATGATAGAGAGCAATCAACCTGTTGAACCAAAGCCACGGTGGGTGCAAGAAAAACGCATATGTTCTCCTGGGGTCTCTTTATCAAGTGGCCTAGCTCGTAGATAAGTAGCACAGCTATGTGGGTCTTCCCACAACCAGTACCCAAATAAACAATTATGTTCTCCTCCGTTGCTTTCTTGCAAAGCTCCAACTGATACCTTCACAACAAAACAAAAGACAAAAAAAAAAAAAAAAAATATCTCACTACAGTTTTTTAGTGCCAAGCTTGGAACAAACAAAAACATAAAATCCCTGTATTCATTCCCTCGTATTTGTTCCCAAACTACACAATGAGAAATAACATTTCACAATCTACTTTTGTACATGGCATAAAACTTGCACTCTCGTTCTCCTTTTTCTTTTTTTTTTTTGGTTTTTTACACTCTGCTTTCACATAGGCCCAGAAGTGAACATTTCAAGTGCACACCCAAAAAAAAAAAAAAGATGGCAAACCTTCTAAAGCAAAATTCTAAAGGAAAGGGAAAAAATGGAGCGAAGCGTACTTTCTAGAAATCTTTCTCGGATCTTTCTCCGGAAACGACGACGAACTAGCGCCAGAGTTCGCCGGATCGGCTTCGCCGTCGGACATTGTCGAAAGACTTGAAGCTCCGTCTCTCTCTCTCTCTCTCTCTCTAACGAATATGTTCTTCTAAAGCAAAGCAAGACAGTGAGTGAATGAAGGAATATATAAATATAGGATCGAAAGTGGTAAATGTTCGTAAGGTCGTCCGTACGAGAATCGCGTGAGTGATGGCGCATGAGATAGCTTGCAGAGGTGGGTTATGCTTTTGAACTTGTACGAGTCAATGTATAAGTCAATAGCTTTTTATTCCTTGCCCTCCTTCCTATTCAAATTTTCAATTCGAAGCGTATATTTTTTAAGAATTTTTAAATATAGTAAAAAAAATTAAATTTAATATTTTTTTGAGAGTTTTTAATTGTAAAAATTTAGAATTAAAACTTAAATCGATAAGGCCCTATTTATTTTATCAATTTGAGTTTAGAGTTTAAATTTTGCTATAGTAAAAAGCTCTCAGAATCAGTCACATCTAACTTTTTTACTACAGTAAAAAAGTCTCAAATAAAATCGTATCTCAACTCAAATTAAAAACTCGAATCAATGAACTAAACGGACCCTAAAATGAACAAAATCTTTGTCAATTAATTTTATGTCTTTGATCTCTAAACTTATAGTTTTTGTAGATTACGTCCTAAATTTTTAGAGTTTTTATAACTTTTTTATTAAAAGGATCTAGGGATGGGATTTTATATGTTAACTCATTTATCTGTAATGATTAGGAAAAAAAACAAAAATGGAGATTTTACTCTTAAAAATATATGAGTTTGGATGTTTATATCCTTACTCTTGATAAATACCCTTTTTATTAGTGTAATTATTTAATTAAAAAAGTTATGAATTAAGAGTAAATGATAAAAATCATGACCCGTGCACTTTCAAGAGATATTTGTCAAAATTACCAAAAAATTCATTTATTTATGGCCCACACTAAACAGGGTCAAAAAAATGAGAGAATGAGGGAAATAACATATTTAGTAGAATGTTTAGTAAATTATAGCATATGTTTTTAAAATAATAAATTATAGCATAATTTGATATCTCTTTTGAATGGGGAAGAGGGCAAGGGGCTTAGAGAGAACGAGTAAGGTTGTGTTTGCTAGTGATTTTTAAAGCCTAAAATCAATTCTCTAGTCAGTTTATTAAAAATCTAAAAAAGTGATTTTTAAAAAAATTTTGAAGAATTTAAGGCCAAAAGTACAAATAGTCTAGAGACTACTTCTAATTCTAAATTGTGCGGCAATCCTGGCTAGCAATTAATGAAACTTTTAAATATACCCTTTATACCCTGTTGAATGAAAAAAATCTCATTCCCAAAATGTCCTCTTCTTGGTCTCTGGTTTCTCAAACCTCTCTCTCTGTTCTCTCGCCGGTCTCTTTCTCTCTCTCTTCGTGCTCTCTCTTTGTTTCTCCCTCTAAATCCGGTCGCGGTAGACGGAGGTGGTGTTGGTGTTGTACTTGGTGACAATATCAATCTCCTTAAGGATGTCGTACTGAGCGAGGAAGGCATTGAGCATGTCGTTGCCGCTGGACTCCATCTTCTTGATCTAGATCTAAGACCATGAATCCATGGTGATGCATCAGACGAAGGAGATATGGACGCCGAGGCCGCGATGCTTGCCAGAGCACTCTAAGCACATGAAGACGCAATATACCCTTTATACCCCTGCTGAATGAAAAAAATCCCATTCCCAAAATTTCCTCTTCTTGGTCTCTGGTTTCTCAAACCTCTCTTTCTCTGTTCTCTCGCCGTCTCCTTCTCTCTCTCTTCGTGCTCTCTCTCTCTATTTTCTCTCTGAATCCGGTCGCGGTAGATGGAGGCGGTGTTGGTGTTGTACTTGGTGACAATATCAGTCTCCTTAAGGATGTCGTACTGAGCGAGGAAGGCTTTGAGCCTGTTGTTGCCGCCAGACTCCATCTTCTTGATCTAGATCTAAGACCATGAATCCATGGTGATGGATCGGACGAAGGAGATGTGGACGCCGAGGCTGTGGTGCTTGCCGGAGCACTCCAAGCACATGAAGACGCCATAGGAGACGGACGCCCACTACGGATTCTTCTGCGAGCAATCGACGTAGATATTGTTCCCTAGCTGCAATTGCAAATCCCGAAGCCGCCTTGATGCTGCCATTTCTCCTCTCCGATCTGATTAGATCAATCTGAATCCGATTACAAATTGGATCAGAAATCAGAAAACAAAAAGGAAATATAAGAGATCAGAGAATCAAGGAATCGATCTGAATCCGTCAGAGGAACATAAGTGTCGTTGAACGCACTTTTTATGTGCATAAAAGAAAAAGGAACATATGAAAATGTTGAGAGACATGCCTAATTATTTATTCAAAAGTAAGTAAAAATATTTATTATAATAATGGTGTTCTATAACTATATTATGAGGCATGTTAAGTGTGATTGATATTTTCAGAAGGTCGCGAATAATTTAGATGGTTTTGTTCATAAAGAGAATCAACTAGAGGATAATGTAGAAGAAAATTAAGCTTTTAATACTTTACTATCACAAGAAATGAATGAAATATGAGATTAAATTGCTATAAGTTTAATGAGCACTACCTAATTTGCAAAATGACTCCACCGGTTTTTGAGAATGGAATGTATATTTTATCTCTATCTTGATGAAAAATTAGATTGTATATGTTGATTACTCATTGATGCTCATTTTTGTTGTAACTACATATGGTCAATGAAGAAATGAAAAAAATAATTATTATAAATTTAAGGATTAATTTTAAAAATTTCTCCTGAACTATGACCCTTGTAACACTTTACCTCATGAATTTCAAAACGTAACATCCGCTCCCTCTAAATTTTGTTCCGTTAATAAGCTTTCCTCTTTTGTTACAATGAGTGATAGAATTCACCACGTGTCACGTAAATGACCCATCTGAGGAGAGTATTATCATAAAATACCCTTCAAAAATCCCAAGTTATTAAAAAACTCAAATACGTAAATAAAAAAAAGGATTAATCTATTACAACAGACCTTTCATTCGCCTCCATTCCATGTGGCACGTTTGATTTCTCCTCCCATAGGAGTAGTGATGAATGCACCAACCACCATAAGAAAAAAAAACAGATATGCACAAGCAGCCTTAGCTACATCTCCAACAAGTGTAATATCTCAAGCTGAAGTCCTAAAAAATTATCATATAAGAACAAATACTTTAACACACAAAGGAAAATAAAAGGCAACTAAAAAAACCCCATAGCATGCAACGACCCAATGAAAAAAATGAATAAGAGAGGGAAAAAAAAGAAACAAAACAGGTAATGAAAGAAAACCTATCACCCTATGAATGTGCATTAACATCTGGGCTTTAATTAGAGGGTTTAAAGGAATCCAAACATTGTTTACATAGAAATCTAAAGGGAAAAAAATAGGCATAACCAAATTAAAGTAAGAATTTCAACGTAAAACGAACCAACATCCCATAATAAAGAACGAATGAAAGTGAGAGATCCAAACCAGAAAGAGTACAAAGCCTCCATGACTGAGTATGGGAATAAGCGTGTTAGAGAAACCGGAAGAGAATGAGATGGCAAGGGAACAAAGATGAATGAGGAACTCGACATGGAGGAATGAGGTGAGGAAAAAAAAGGACTGGTTTTTGGGAACGAATATGGTGAATTCTGTCAATATAAGTAACATCGAAGACCAGTGATTTTGAACGAAGATGGGTATAAACGTCATTGCACTTTCAAATCTCACTAAATAATGGACACGTGGTGAATTTTGTCACTCTGCGTAACGAAAGGGGTAAAATTGTTAACGGAACAAAATTCGGGGGGAGCGGATGTTACGTTTTGAAATTCGGGGGGCAAAATGTTACAATGTTTATAGTTCAGAGAGAATTTTTGAAATTAATCCTAAATTTAATGTTAGAAAACTCAGCACCAAATTATGTTTTTTTTTTTTAGTTAAACAAGTATTTCTTAATAACAAACAAAAATATATATTTAAATTTCATACCATGTATTTTAGTCATCTTAATTATCTACAGTAATTCAACCTCACAATTTACCAAACGCTATTACACTGCTTTTAGAACCAGAACACTTATATAATTATAGTTTACCAAATACTCAGTTATTTTTTCTTTCAGCACAGCTAAAAGTAATTTTTTTTAAATCTACAGCACTACTAAACTATTATGGAAAATTTTAATTTTTATGGCATTGAAGATAAAGTTTTAACCATTACTTTTGATAATGCATCAACAAACACAACTGTTATCAACACGTTCAAAGTAAATTTGAAACCTCCTTTTAGTGGAGAATTTTTTCATTAATGTTGTGCATGTCATCATCTAACTAAAATTATATGACAACTATTATCAACACGTTCAAAGCTAGTATTGAAACTATATCCCATCATCTAACTAAAATTAGAGAAGTGTTATCTTTCATCTCTAGTTCGGGAGCTCAGCTCCAAGAATGTTACCAATATTGCAGGAATAGCCAGATGAGGCCAAGAAAGTTTCCAACAGATGTTCGACATAGGTGGAACTCCACCTACTTAATGTTGAAAGCTGTTATTCCGTATCAATAGATAATCACTACATATGTGAACAGTAAGTATGTGAGCATTTTATTGATGATAGAGATTGGAAGATTGATGAGTACTTTTTAAAATTTTTAGAAGTATTCTACAATGCTACTGAATTACTTTCTGGTGTGTATTATCCTACTGCTCATCTTGCTTTGGATCAATTATTTAATATTTCTGAAACATTTACTTATTATAAGGATACTGATCTTTTTGGACCCATAGTAAATGAAATGGAAAGAAAATTTAAAAGTTATTGAGCCGGTTATCCTATTTTTTATGCATTATCAACAATTTTATATCCTAAATATGGATTAGATGAGATACAATCTTTGATGTCTGCTACAACAAATAATTTATCTATTGCTATGGAACTAAAAATTGATGATGCAAGGATAATGTTAGAACAATTGTTTGCATTGTATAGAAAAAATACAGAGCAAGACAACAACAACAGTCAACTTTGACGTCAAAGAGCAGTTCAGGGCCTAAAGGTTCATCGTGGAGTTTCTTGAAGAGAAAAGAGAAAGTATTGAGATCATCATCAACACATGGACCGTCTTCAGAACTTGTCAAATATTTTGAGTTAAATTTTGTAATTGATAACGACAAACTAGACATCTTACAGTGGTGGAAGAGCAAGCAAGATCATTTTCCAACATTATCCATTATAGCACGTGACATTTTGACAACTCCATTGTCCACATTAACATTAGAGTAAGCATTTAGTGCAAGTAATAGATTCTTGATGATAAGAGAAGCAGATTGTACCCGGATATCTTGGAGGGGTTATGTCTGTGAAAGACTAGGAAGATGCAAGAAGACGAAAATAACATTATACAGATGATACACTTCTCGACTATTTTTCAAACTTAGACATAACAGAATCTTCTGGAAGTAATTCGGCCACAGTGTAATTTAATTATCCTTGTATACTCCACTCTTTTTTCTTTCGCCAAGGTTTTGTCCTGATCATTTATGTGTACTTATTCATATTATTTCAAATCAATAAAATCACACCTTTTGAAGGCATATGATATATTTCCTTTTTTTCATTAAATATGATAACAAATGTGAATCCAGTGCAATCTAATCGACCGGTGCGTGCTCAACGGTTATAAATTAGACCGTTGAGTTTCACCCGCTTGAAAAGGGCAAGGACCGGCCCGTGAAAGACCGGGCTCAGACTCGGGCCAAGCCCTGACCCTTATGGACAAAGGCCGGGCTATTGTGAGGCGTGAGGAAAAACCCTCAAGCCACGGTCCAGGCACGACTCTGTACTGTACAGGACCGCGCCCGACCCGATTCTTTTGACATCTCTAGGAGGGGGCTAGTCTCTCAAATTCAAAGTGGGGGACTGACTTGTTGGGAATGGTGTCCTAGAAGCATGAGATGTAATAAGATATTTATTATTTATTTAATAAAAGAGTTTATTCATTATTTTATGTGCATATATATATGAATATTTTATGAATATCAATGAAAATTTCATGATTATTTATGTGACCTTAAACATTGTATATAAGTGTTATATACGAGATGATAATGTTTAACGATAATAATAAAAAATAATGTTCATAATGAATTTAATTAAAGTTCAGAATCTTTAATTAAAATATTATTAATACATGTCATTCCCATTTAGAATGGAACGGTGTTATCTAGTGCTGAAACTTTGGACGAGCCCCCCGTGACCACCAAAAAGTCCAAATTTTTGTCCAATGACCGAACCCAAAC